CCCCCCCTTCCTAGCCGCTCGTCCCCCCTAGTGTGAGTGACCCGCCTACATTCCCAAAGGAAGTATCCAATTACAATCCGCTTATTGTCATACTGTGAAAGCTCCTACCACCAACAAAGCTTTTTCAAAAGAATAGGAAGACTTGCGCCGTCCGAGGGGCATTCGTTTAGGACATTGACCTCCGAAGATCGAACCTTCAACTGACACTTGATCGAATACTGCCTAAACCATCGGCTCGGAAATTTGTCAGGGATATCTAATCCCATAGCTTTTTGTCGTCTGGCCGACTGCCTTTTGCCAGAGTCCGCCAAGGCTAAACACACAATTGAACGCCTTTGTGATTCTGAGTGGCACCAAAATGCATGGCCTATCCTTTAAGTAAAAGCAGAATAAACTAGCAAGTCTTGAGCAATTCTTCTACTAGCTGGGAGAATAAATTACAGAATATTAAGGTGTACTACGCAGAGAATGAATCACAGGTGGTGGGAACTGGCCGATACGAAAGTGTTCCGCCCCTACAAAACAAACCCAAAGGAAGAACATTCATCTGCCTGACCAAAACAATTACTTAACAATCTGTGCTTTTAACCGGTATACTGATAACTGGTAAGATTACTATTTTCAGAGGGGATTGGGAGTAGAGAGGGTGAAAAAATCGTAAATGGCCCCAAAAAATTTCCTAGTTCTTCCTATTTACCGTTTTTATTGCACTGATCATTTAATGGAAGCAATTACTTCAGAATATGCATTCACCTTTGTCTGCTAAAGGACCATTAAGAAAACGAAAAACCCGATTCAGGTCTGGATTGCCTTAGTAGAAGCATCTGAATACATCAGAGAAAGTCAATTTCTAGCCAGTTTTCTCGCTCACTTAGAAGAATCTAGCCCTAAGTAAGTGAGTTCAACTGCAGGAACAAGAGCCGTTTCAGATTCCGCCTAATTTTTGACCTCTGACCCCGGGTACGGTAGCCATCGTTCACCATCTCATACGAAAATATAATAATAACACCGAGAACGATGTCTATCTGTTGTAGAGGGCGATGAGAAGGTCACCAATGAAATCAACAAATCGAAGGATGTGACCGCCAATGATCGTACACCCTATCATTGCTAGAAAATTCTCGAAGAACTATTCGCCAACGAGCAGCCAGCAATTTTCCGTCGCCTGGCGTCGATTCTGACTTTTCTCTTCGGGTCACGGTTCTGAACTGCACATGATTCACAAAGTTCATACATCTTCATGCCCTCCTGAAGAACTAGTATAGTCAGCTCAACTTCCTGAACCTTACCATCAAGTTGCCTGAGTGGATACTCAGGCAACTTGATGGTAAGGTTCAGGAAAACTGTCCATATCCAAAAAGTAAGGGTGAGTATTGGTGGGATAGGACCAACAGGTGCCGATATCGCACATATGATCCAAAGATCAAAGCCCTGATGAACAGTCGCTCAGGGTAGCCGGTGCATTTCTTCCTTTCCCTCCATTTTCACCATACATATTACAGTTGGTTTTTTTGATTTTATTTCCTATAAAGCTCAAATGAAAAACTAATTTGACATTTATACAATGATATATACACAATTTTTGACTGAAAACATTCAATGCATTCTAGTATCCTATCGAATTGCTTTGGAACACAATCCATAGGCAACATTCATATCTCTTCTATCTGGCAGCGTGTAATGCAGACAGATGGCGAAATCAGAGATGTGCTCACCAACAGGCGCACCTATCAACCGTTCTCAGGTCTACTCTCTACCCGCGTAACATTAAGTCATCGTGGGACTTCAGAGAGCTCCGACAATCCGTCTGCCCGTCACTCTCTACCCACTTACCAGATGGAAAAGATATTCACAAGGAGTATGGCCACTATCGCTGAGAGCCACAAATACCCAAACATTCTTTGCAACCGTTCACTAGTGCATCGTCGCGGAAATTTTGCCTACCTTTCAATAGATTCTAGTCAAGCACAGGGTCAGCATAGGGATGAGATATGACGTGCCCATGGATCATTCCTTCGGAACCCCGTTCTTACTCTCACATCCACAACCCGCGTCAATAAGAAGGAGGACCTGATCGTCACCACTATTCCTCAATGAAGTTCCCATCACTATGCTTACCCTGGCCTGGCTCAAATAACATTGCAAACTAATAAATTAGTTAAACACACACGATAGCAAAATTGACTGAAAAGCCTGAAATGCCTATCGTTTCGTTAACTATCATAATTACTAGCAAATATCTAAAAAGATATGCCATCGGAAAAGTGCGTTCTACCAGTAGCAGTTGATTTCAAGACAATACGTACATCGGGTAAGGCTCATTGGATCTAGTAACAGCCAAACTAAAGCACGCTGGATGAGGAAGTAGACGGTTTTGGTTTTTTGACATTGAGCACATTCTGAGTCTCCTAAGACAATTCGAAGCCAGCGCCTGCATTTATCGCATATCTGAAAATAGCTTGCAAACTTATGAAAAATCGAAACCCTCAATCTGTGAAAGAATTACCTCAACTTCTCTTCAAGCTTAGCCCGTGAATTGTAGATAGGTAATTTAAAAAGGTTCATACATGTCGCACTTGTGGGTAAATGATCAGAGTCGTGCACCTGTAATATCAACACTAAAAAATAAAATTTAAAAAATTATCATTTTAAGAGCACTTCATCTTAGATCAAGCCTTTTTGAAGACTTTCGCTATTTCACCTTGAGTAAGTAAAAGTACCTCGAAAATACTCCAATCAAGTTATCTAGGCATCACTGCCTGAGCCCTCCCCTGCCGTCTACTCGGTGAACCCATCCTTTGACAAAAAAAGTGGCAGGAACTTCAAGCAGAGACCTACTATTCCGCTGAATTCATTTCAAAAACAAATAGTGATTCATACAATCCAAGAAGTACAACAAGGATAAACCGAACACACCAGTTGAATTCCTATGGCTGGGAAAAGCATTTTGAATCCTTCTATCGGTGGACGTGAGCAGCCTGTGATAAACCTGAACAAGAGTTGTTCTAAGAGCGTGTTTTGAATGGAAGTTGACAATAACAGCTACGCCAAGGCCAGTTCATTACTCGAGATGCTAGCGAATTCCATAACAATGTACAGAATGACAAATGCGCGAGAAGGCCATCTCTTATTATGCTTTCAGTAAACTTACTTGAGCAAGCCGCGTTTATCCTCCGCTGACATCTCTCCGACAACACTCCAGAACAGATCCACGTAGTTACGATCCGATTCATCTGCAAAAACACGACTTTCACGTTCCCAAAAAGTTAGAATTTTTTATGAGAACAAGATCATGACTAAAAAGGCTGGCTACGGATCTAGTAATGAATAACGGCACTGGCTCCGCCAACAGCTTGAAGTGCGTCCGGACTTCCGTGTCGTCTAGACATGAGACAGTAGATCAACCCGGACGCACTTCAAGCTGATGGCGGAGCCAGTGCCTTTATTCATTTGCAACGAGCTTAGTATATCTACGGCCATAAGTATCATACTGATAATTCTGAGGTTACCCGCCAGCTACAACCACATCAGTTACTGAAGAACTTGCCTCGAATGTTATGTACAATGCAATGCTTCATCATATCGTCGACATCTAAATCAGCATCGGCGCCGCTGACTAACGTCTGCAGCTCTGATGGCGAGAACATCGCTAGCCATCCAGGATCAATTACTGTCGACAAACCGGCTCGCATAGCATCTACCAAGGGCTCAATCTGAACATCTTCAAGTTGCGGGGAGTCCAATCAGGAGAACAAAACAGTCTATATTTTAAAGTCTTTCAGTGTTATGTCTGATGACCAGTTGACTTAACCGCACCATAAAAGAAGAGTGAAGGCTCTCTCTCAGTTACACAGCTAACCTTAAAGGGGTGGACGGGCTTCCCTTGAAGTGGTGGACGGGGCATCTAAAAGAAAAATTGCGGGTTCCCGGAGCCGGCCCCTTCCCTTTATCCATATAAGCCTTACTTGTTCTCGCAAGAAGAATCACGAGAAGAATTTCGCAATTTCCTCAGAAACTCCCGTAACTACTACACTGTCAGATTTCTTTTTGAACTTGACTCCCGCAGGTATGTATGTATGTTCACTTCATTTCTACCGATTTGAACCTCTCGTGAGCAGACCGAGATGGATGACCAAGACGGAGCCTTTAACCATGCCAGATAACTTAGGAACTGACCCGCTTGTAGAGGAAAAAGTTCACATAAGATCGAATGTATTCCAGACGATTATCGACTGTCACACGAATACTTCGGCCGCCTGGTACGAGGTCGACATTCTAAAAATCGAATCATTGACATAAAAAACTACTGAAATATTTGGTGAGTTGTTGGAACACCATTATCAAAAAATAATTCTTGACAAAATGTCATTACCTGTACATCACCAACATCGTCCACGATTACACTGAAATCGAGTTCCAATGCCGCGAGTTCATCGGCTGTCAAATTACGGAGATTTTTGAGATGCCTAAATGCAACGCAACAATCGGAAATCATTTTCTTGAGTTGCTCTTCTTAAAAGGGACCTAAAGCCGCTTAGATGTTAAGCCGCTTTCAAGCCGTGAAAATCAAACTAATGACTCAAAGGCCCCGGCCAGACTTACTTATAAATAGCTGGATCATAAGATTTCAAATGATGAAGATCGATATCAGCATGACGTTTCCCTAGGAGTTGGGACACAAAGAACTCAGCAAAGCGGATCTCAGCCATTTGCTTCTCGTAAATCAACTGCAACGAAGTATTTCACAAATCTACATTAAAATCCAGGCCTTCAGACTGCTGCCGACTATAAACCATAATGCGACTGTTCCAAAAATAAAGTATAGAAAAATGCACCTTTGCGACTACTCTTCCCAGAAAGAAAAAATGTTGCGAGTAGGAGTCAGGATATAGCTGCACAGAGGATGGATTGGGATATAGAAGCCTGAGATGCATTTTTGTACGTGAACGAAGTTTAATCAAGAAAAATTCAACAAAACCTGTCGTGAGTGTACTTGAAGAAGCCCCTGTCAGGATCGAAACCAGTTCGAAGCAACTCGGTCAAGAATTCCCTGAAACACGTGCGCTAGTCGTATTCAATGGGAAAGAGGTCTAACCTAGAATACAACAAAGTAGTACGAATCACATGATGAAATATCAATACTAGCTACGGCCATTTAACATAATTCAAAGTGAAACTAGTAGGAATTTCGATTCATAAGAAGTGTAGCATTGATAGTCAGCATGCTACTGGCATACTAAGTGAACGGAGTGCGATCACATGCATTTCTGAATAGGAACCACCCTTGCTTACTCCTCACTAGACAGACGACAGTAGTCCAACTGAGGCATGTTTTGTGGCGTTTTATGAAGTTGAACATACTGTCACAGCTGTGAGGGTGGACATTGAAGAGATCCGAAGTTATTTATAGGCGTTTATAAATAAATAACAAAAAAGAAGTCATTCGGATGAAAAAAATGGAAAACGATAACAAAAGGCAGAGAAAAACATAAGAAGGACCAAAACAAGTCCAAATATTAAATATAAAGAAGCTCTCCCTACCTGAAGATCCCACCGCCATCAATGCCGACCTCATTCAAACCGACCCAGTTCGTCATAGACACTCTGATAGGAAGTCGAAGATTCGGTGCTGCAAATCATACGCGGGAAAAATGAAAGAGACGATAATGTTGGCGTACAATTTCCAAGATGAGGACATACTGAAGGGCCCTAGTCATTGGTCAATGAATGAACCAGGTTAGAGTTGCAGTGATGAAGATCTATCAATAAATATACTGCGAAGCTGTGTGTACAGATGACAGTTATAAGTACACCCAGTTTATCTTCGCCTTTTAAACAAGAAAGAGAGAGGTTACGGTCTAGCAACAGAATTGATAGAACCTGGATTGTTCCATACTATTCCGTGGTGAGATTTCACCCGATAATAATTGAAATGAACCCACCATTCCCCAATGACAGAGCTTCGAAAGCATCCTCATACAAATGCTGTCGTCGTACAGCTATATTAATGCCATTGCGACGAAATCCTGCTGGCGCTGGAATTGAAATGTTGATTTCAAGATTCCAAATTTGCTTTTCTTTGCCGAGAGGGAGAAATATCACGAATTTCTTATACGAGCAAGTATACCAGNGTATACCAAAGAGTCTGTTATACTTTGAAGCATCACCCACCAAAACCATGAAAGTCATCGGTAATGTCGTTCGCCTCTCGATCGTGTGCCAGTAGGTCTTGAAAGATCTGAGAACTCGCTTAGTTTTTTGTTCTGATTTTTAAACCAAGCATTAAACGTCGAGAATACCTTGACCCTTTGCATGAACGGTACAACAAAGGGAATCGACCTAATGATGCTCAAGTTCCGTAGATCAGCGCTAGTCGCTGACATCTCATTTGAAGGTCCCGGTTCATCTTCGCTCCCACTGCTGTCATCACTGAAATATGGATTTGGATGGGTACTTCTGGAATCCTTGAATCATAGCCAAGTTATCCTTTTCTTCAGTCGTACAAGCCATATGAAGCCTCTCGAATCGAGCTCAAACTTCTCAATAAGGATTCAACTTTGCCAGAATTACACTAGTGAACTGATAATCTGAACCATAGTGCTGGCTTACTTCATTTCCGGTCTCCCATGAAGAAACCGTACGAAAGTGAACGGAGTGAACGCACATGACGGTCCCTCCATACCACGACGCCGGGGTTGCAGAAATGATCTGCGTGTCACAACTACCTAAAACATACAAATGACTGAAGCGAAGACTAGACTCTTCAGTTTAATTTACCTGTCTTCGGTGATTACTCCAAAACTCAGGAGGTAGGAAATGTACACGTGCATCTTTGGCATACAACGACTGCAGAGTAGATACAACAGTCTCGTAGAGCTGAGACCACTAAAAAACAAGCAGGATCAGCAGGAGCAGGACTTTTGCTGGTGTTTTAAGAAAAGTTAGGCAAATACCCCTATGGGATTCGGAAAGAGGTGCAAACGACTCAATAAGGAATTGTTCGTAATCCTGAGCCCATTATTTCAATTATCATTCGTTTTGACAGAATTCGGAAAGTAACGAATTCAGAGCAGCGGCGGTCAATCCAATTCATTTTTCATCGGTAGCTTCAACCGCTCTTATCTATGGAATTTTAGGGTAGTAAGTTCTCACCTTTGCCGCATCACGCGTTTTCTCTTCTGCTGCCTTGGCCGTAATAAAGTAGTCTTCGGGAAATGCTAAATCAATCAAACCCAAGCCAACGTCTCTGAAAGGAATTGGGCATCATATAATTAGGCATTGGGCAAGGCTCTAGCCGAACACAAACACGACAGAAACGGGTAACATTAAACGGCAATAGCGCACCTGATTACGGTAATTATCTCCGTCATCTTGTTGTTGCTGAAGACTAAGTTTTTATGGCCTACTGCAAAATCGGCGTCATCAACCGACGCGATTCCCGCAACAAGGCATCCGCAGAACAAAGACAGCGCCTGCGTCAGACGATCCCGGGCAGTATCCTCCAGTGGGTGTCCTGTAACCTCACGAATGAGTCAAACCATACAGAAGAAAAAGCCTGAAGAAAAGTCACTAACCCATTTTTAGTAGATCAATATAATTTACGAGTCGTCCAGACAAAGATCGCGATTCCATGCTCACTAGCAACGTCCACAGCCTAAAAGGGGCAATAGGTTGGCAGTGCTATATCAAGAAAGCTCCTTTACAACTTCTAATTATATCCAAAAAAGTACTAACCGACTCATGCAAGCAGGAGAGGTGGCCAATGTCATAACTATGTCTGAATTCAGTATTTTCTTCTCAAACGCTACCAGCGACCATATATTTTCGTCAGTGGGGAATTGAACTGTAATTACGTCGTAATATTTAACAGCTGCCCAAACGAAGCTGACACATATAAAAAAGGGACGAACCTGCATGTTTGCAGAGCTCAGAAAACATTGGCGACTCAAATGCAGCATCAATAAATGATGACATAAACGCTTTAACCTGAAAAATTGTTGAAAGATAAATCGGTCGATGTTTTTTCGAGAGTGCCATGCTTTTGAACTCTTCGTGACAGCTAATTGTGCCACCCTCAGCTGATGTACCCATCCAGCCGGTTATTTCACTCTATGACAACCAAAACAGTAGGTTTGAAGTCGAAACAGATGGCACCCCTTCAATAGTTAAGGATAAAGGATAAAGCCTTTGACGTTGATTAGTCGTTTTCAGATTTCTGAAACCTGACACTTGACTAGAATTCAGAATTCAGAAAAGTCAGTGCTTTTACCTTCCCAGACCACTCTAGCACCAATCATCCAATCCTGGATGAATATAAGGCCTATGGCCAAAGTGACCCAGGATTCGAACAGCGAACCATGCGTGTGACAGTACGCCACTTATTACTAAACCACCTCGTTCCACACCTCAAAAGTAAGCCTGCGTCTTTCCTAACACAACTCCCACTTCTAAGGCAATTTTGAGTGAGTAGTTAAATAATGTATACAAGTCACCTTTTCGTCTGTTGCCACAATTGCACGTTCAGTAGAACTACTTCTCTGACATGCATTTTTGAAGCCAGCGCATGTCGACAAAAGCGAACATTTGTCGTCGTCAGTTACTGCAAATCAACAATGATTACGGTAAGGTTCAATACGGTAAGACACACTTAAAAATTCAGTGGAGCTGAAAAGTGGAACGCGTGTTCCGCATCAATCACTGCCCGTGTCATTCAGACTTAAAAGTACAGAGACATGTAACTAGGGAGGCTAAGTATCGTCACTATTGCAAGCTCAACTACTGCAAGTATTGCTATTCAATGCTTGGAAAGCACAAAGAACCAAGTTACAGCTTGAGAAATAACACTGCAGAGCAATTGTACATGTTACTAAAAAAATAAATAAATTTCATGAAACATTGAAAAGAGAGGGATTACCTTGTGCACGTCCTAAAAGAAACCTAAATAGAAACATTGTCCAAATATTAGGGTTTGTGGAGAAAATAAACTTTCTTAGTAAGACTTACAATCCATCTGACAGCAGACCTCCAGAAAAGTGCATAAGAAGAAAGTTGAACCGATTCCAGCAGGCATAGCGTCCTGAGAAGGATTTCGCCCGAAGGCAAGCAGAACGTCACCCAACGAAATCCTGGAAATTCGGAAAATGACTTCGAAGACAATCCTTAATTACCTCAAAACTAAAATGCAACTTAAAAGTGGAGGCAAACTCGAACCTTCTATTAGAAACTTACTTAGAATCATAAAAAGATCGAGAAATATAAGGCATCACGACTAAGACCATCGACCTCAAATCCTTGTTGATCAGTACTGATCGGAATAGATACCGGAGAGCCCACACTCTAAAATAACGGTCCTCGACCAAAATGTATTAATGTGACCACGTTCCTGAACTGTTACACTAGCGCGAGTTCAAGAGATGTAAAAGTGTAGAAAAAGTGGGCAAGGTGAGTGACATCACCACGATACCTCGAGAAAAAGGTTTGTAGAAAGAGTGAATAAGAATACCTTTCTTTTGTTCTCATGACAGGCATCATCAGATGTTGACAAAGCGATTCCAGGCGTGGAGGAAATCGTCTTTCGATAGTGAAGGAAATGTCCTCACCTTGATGTGTGGATAGTTTCGCAATCAAATTCAAAAAGCATTCAAAGTAGCCCATCTAAAAGAATCAACTGCACTAACAACTTAGCATAACACCGCAAAGATCTGACAATAGAGATTTGATTTGTAAAGGGTTACTTGTTCTCACAGAAAGAAAGACAGAGAACTGAAAAGGACAGAACAAGCTGAACAACCCTATGCTAGAAAAGACTGCCGAATTAGGTGAGTACTGGGATGGACGATGCAGCAGCTTCAAATAAAATGCAGCAGTCATGACTACAGACGAATCTGAACAAAAACTGACCTTCACTAACGAAATGCAATCTCGAGTATCAGCAAATGTATCTAAGAACCTGAATGGAAGAGAATGTATGAATGAACGACAAGACTGCTGAGGAAAGGTGGTAAGAGAAGCACATACCTTATCGGCATCACAAAGTTTGTATCCGGTCCAGCATAGGAAAGGTATTTCAGGAGGCACTTGTAGAAGACTATGCGACTTTGAGTCCCAACTAGTTCTTCTTCACCATGATTATGATGCAAACCAAGTGCCGCAGAGCAAATAATCACCTAAACATGCCAATGAAAAATAAGTTTCTGCACGTGACTTCAGCATTATGGCTACTCTTCAGTATTTGCTGTTCTTTCGCAATTAATTAGCATCGTTTGAAGATTATGAACATGATAGGTTAATAAATAAGTGCATGCAAAGTGTGGAACTTACTAATCGGCTGTCGTCATCCGGATGATGGTAAAACACATTTATTCGCGTAATTTGCAAATTTAGCGCCTGAACATGCAAAAAAAAATGATGCAAAAATTAAAAAAGGACATGTAAAGCGAACCTCTTTCGTTGTCGGCCTGCCAACTTTATCAAAATCTTCTCTGAGTTGTTGGCCAACACTAATGCGAGCACGATAGGCATGCCATGATCTTTGTATAACCTTAGCCGCGTTCTGCTGCCTTTGATCTGTAATACATAAGACGTATCCGAAATCTCCCTGAAAACTTGAACTTTATGGTCGCCCGCGCCAATTTGGGGCCCTTAAGTTCTACAGAATAAGGTCGAAAGACTCGACAAAGGAAAATCGAAAATAATCTTGAACGGAACGAGTAATTTTCATCTGATTAACATGCTTTGCTCTTGAAGGCCGTCGTATACTAACTTACCAACTGCTCTAGCTCTCCTTTGTGCTTCAAGCTCCCGCAGAAACTTCTCCCGATTATTCTGAAATTAGGGAATCGCAGCGGTTCATTTCAAAATGGATATAGCGAAACTTACAAAGGTGTTTAACACAGCTTCCTGTTTCTTGTTTCGTTTTATCGAACCGTCAAAATCAACAAGGTTTAAGAATGACATCTGCAAAGCCGTTTTTTAATGGAAATTGCTGTCTTTCGGTTAGAGATATATTTTGAATTTCTTCAAATTTGTCGTACTCCATAACCGTTCGCAAGTAAGACGAGAGCTCGGTAAGGAGCGGAAGGAAGAAATGAAGGGCAGGAGGAACTCTGCTCGAGGAAAAATTACACGGGTTGAGCAAAACCAGATTATGAGTAGGTATGATTTCAAGTTCCAATAACAGACGATTTGAAAACCAGTAAGAATCTCAGTAGAAAGTTACAAGATAACAACAAGAGACACAGTAGAAGCACTTAAACTGCTTTTTAACTGTTACACCAGTTATCATCGCTGAGAATGAATGAGCAAATTTGAAGGTACTCCTGGAGTTGAACACAGTTCGCGTAGAATCACAGATGAAATTAAGTCTTTATTCGTTCTATGATAA